ATACCAACACCACCCCAAATCCCGAGACTGAACCACATACCAACACCACCCCAAATCCTGAGACCGAACCACATCCCAACACCACCCCAAATCCTGAGACCGAACCACATACCAACACCACCCCAAATCCCGAGACTGAACCACATACCAACACCACCCCAAATCCCGAGACCGAACCACATACCAACACCACCCCAAATCCTGAGACCGAACCACATACCAACACCACCCAAATCCTGAGACCGAACCACATACCAACACCACCCCAAATCCCGAGACTGAACCACATACCAACACCACCCCAAATCCTGAGACCGAACCACATCCCAACACCACCCCAAACCCTGAAACTGTACCACATCTCAATGCCACCCCAAATCTTGAGACTGAACCACATACCAACACCACCCCAAATCCTGATACCGAACCACATCCCAACACCACCCCAAACCCTGAGACCGAACCACATCCCAACACCACCCGAAATCATCCTCAAACCGAACCAACGACAAGTGGAAGAAAATGGCGTTTTAAACGTCAAGGAAAACCGCGAGCTATTGATAGTAATGTTTTTAATTTTGAATTTTTTACACCAAATATTTTTACAACACAAAAATACTCTTACAGACGACTTTTTCATTACAAATTTTATTTGCTCGTCTGCGTACAATCATTTGTCAAATTTTACTGTGACAATGCATTTGTTGGAAAGCCAGTCGTGCGATGCGCAAATAATTAAAATTTGTCATAGAAAATATTTGTTTTAAATAATTTAGGGGCTCAGTTCAGTTTAGTACATAATATTACTTTAGGTTTATGGTATTAATGTGCTTTTTTTTAACTTAGTTTTTCCGTTTTGGACGGAGGTGTTTATAAAGAGCAAAGATATCCCAATTGTAGGTGAAGGGGTAATTGTTCCGGGATTTAACACTGAAGATAGTGTAGTATCACCCAGTGGAATCCAGAGGAAGATTTTCGTAACCGACGTGCACGGTATGCTCCACAATATGTCTATGTGTTTTTGCATGTACAGTATCTTCAGATTCTCTAGCCCACCTGACGATTCTCATATGGGTGAAACAGGCTGAAGTTGTTTTGTTTTTTTCAGGTAAAACTATATTTGCTCTTTCTGTACAGTATTGAGTACTGATTTTGTTTCGTAAATCAAAAGACTATACACATGTACAAGTTATGCAGACTATATACATGTACAAGTTATACTGTACAGTATATTTAGAGTTGAACAACAGGTATGTCGGCCCAGTTAAGTACTCATGAACAATTGTACGTCTATTTAGATTGCAACGACGATGTAGGAATAGTCCCTGGTCAGTACATCATCCTCCCACTCTACCTGACGGTTCCACGACTACCAGGTTACAAACTAGGCATTGCTGGGTTAGTGGACACGCCATTGTCAAAAAGTGCCAGAAGCATAAAATGTGATTCGGAAAAGGAAGAGCTATGCGAGGCGTTATCATGCCAATGTCCAACATCAGATCCTGTCGATTGGGTACAGTGCAGCACACCGGACTGCCGCAAATGGTATCATTTGCACTGTGTTGGACTGGCCGAAGAACCTGTAAACTGGAATTGCGAATGCGAAAGATTGACAGAACAAAATTACGTCACGCTCAGGTGGGTTTATTATATGCTATTCTGTGATGACTCGACTCGTGTTTAGAAATTGAGGTATTATTATATCAATAGTATGCCACAATGTTCATATACCTTTCGTTTGTCATTTGCCAGTAAAAACTGTATATTTGTAGTTTTGGAAGGGCAATCCCAACTGAATTATAACTCAATAGCACTGCTTGTTTTATTATATGTAGCAAGAAAGAACAATACGAACAGTTGCATGCCATGCTGGACGTTTTCCCTGTAGTCGAGGTTAGTAAGATTCAGTTTTACGTAGACTTTTTTATTTCAGATCTTCTCTCTATGTATACGAAGTATGATAGCGAGCTTAAGATGGACCAAATCTGGGACGCGGACGTGACATAAAAATTCGTGATAACGTTTGAAATCCAGTTTTGTCTTGCTTCACTTCTGTCTCTGACTTTGTTTACCAACTGGAGACCATAATTTTCTCCATGCAACCAAACCGTTCTGTCTGTGGGAATAGTTTAACATTTTTTCTTCACGTCCGTGTCGTAGATTTGGCGAACCTTAAGTTTGCTATTAATAAACAAGTTCGTATTTGTAGGTTAATGTCCGGGTTTACAGGGGCCGGTTGTTCGAAGCCCGTTTAGCTTAAACGGTGGTTAAGCTCAAAATAAAAAGCAAGTCTATAGATTCGTTGAGCAACTAAACTAAAAGTTCTGCACTTTAATGTTGGCAACAACTACATATTCAGTGCATAACATTTAAGTTAACTGATTCACGAGAGATATAAGATCGTTCTTTAATTTTGATTTATCCACCGTTTAAGCTAAACGGGCTTCGAACAACCGGCCCCAGGCCTTTAAGAACTGTCAAGGCTTTAGTGCAAGGCCCCTATTAATGTGCTTCCAGTTGAATGAGTTTTTTTTCTATAAACTTTCACATTGTAGACATTTCATGCACATACAATACAAAATAACCCCTTTTGGACTTTTATTTACTATTATATCGTATATCATTTATATAGCGTCATTTAAAGATGGTGGTAACAAATAAGATAGCAAGTGCGCGGCATCTCCTATTTGTGAAGCACGATAGGAAGGAAAAGGATAACGTCCTAAACCGATTGATTGCTGGCTTCGAGACTCCGTTTTCCGATGAATTAGTAAGTAGGGCATTAAGTTAAAGCTTGGTGTTCATATTGTCTTACACGTCAAACATTTGTATAGGAAAAAGTAAATAGAAAACACCGGGTAGGTCCTGTTTCAGAACGATAATATACAGGGGCCGGTTGTATAAAAAAGTGATTAAAGTTAAGTATAGTTAAGAGGGATCGTCATTCACTAAGAATCGCGGATTTGAAAGTTAATCACTATTTAACTTCATTACGTTTGGTCCCGGATTATCACAGAGGGCGTTTCACTTGTTGTTTTGCGTACGTAGGTTATTGACACTGAAAAATTTGCGACCTGTGTATCTGTTATAACCTCACGGAAAAGTACGAGTCTTTTTAAATCAATATACCGTAGGTAATCGCATGGAACAAAAAAATAAGGTGTACTTCACGCGCGTTTTCAAAGTTTGAAAAAAAACCACTAGGCAATTCATTTGAATACGAGTTGTGGCAGTGATTATTTGCATGCAATGAAATGCCGCATGATTCTAGTATTTGGGAGTAATCTCTGAAGTCCATATTTTAACAGCCCGTATAAATGAAATAAATATCTGTTGATTCAGGCTGATTCAGCTATTGTAGTTGTAAATAGCTTACGTAACTATGTCTATGAATTGCATGGGGTGTCAATCCGTAATTTGGACCACTACGTACGATACGCTTTGCAGACATTGTCTATTTTCTCTACTGAACATTGTAAGACAAATCGTGAATTAACATTTATTCATATATAGGACGACGACTTTCAGGATATTGTGATGGGGTTGTTCATGCCACCTGAACGTAAGTGGGATGACAACACGATATCAAAAACACATTACGTCACGGATGTACTTATACCCGAGGTAATGAAAATTGTTTTTCATGATCAAGTGACATTTCTCTTCTAGCCCTAGTATATAGTAGAACTCTGGTCGCGTCAATGTAATTCAAAGAAAGCTATGAGACAACTCACCTCATTACTTATTGTTTGAATTGCATTTGACGCGACCAAAGTTCGACGTTCACCATGAACTAGGACTTGGTGATATTACCTAAATACGTTTAAAATTTTCTGCAGGCATATGTTCGCTTTGTCATGGAGGTGGAGCAGATCCCAAGGCATGTTGCCGAACTTACCATGCACAACTGGACAATGCAGGTTCCCAATATGTTATTGCAATATCGGTCCAGAAATAAGCTGCCAGCGAACAAGAAAAGATCAAAACACGAAGAAGGTTCCTCGAATGTGGCGGGACTTTCTGTAGAAAAACCAGTAGAAAACAGGAGGGCAAAAAGAGCAAAAAAATAAATTTTATGGGATGTACAATACTGTATGTAGATTGAGTGGAATAATGTTATTGGTTTTGGATTTAAAGTTTGAACTAATGTTCCCTGTACGTCTTGTGCGGACTTGCAATGCATTTGTGAGAATTAGGCCAGGTTCAAACGTCGAACTTTACATGCGCCGAACCTAATGTTAATGAGCTAAGTTCTTTGTTTCACTTCATTTGCATTAGGTTCGGCGCATGTAAAGTTCGACGTTTGAACCTGGCCTTAGACACATCATGGCTTTCTTTTTCGTTGGTTATAACTACAACGTATTATTATTATTTATTATTACAGTACCAGTAATAACCCGCGGGTAAACCTAGTACCCGGAGGAATAATATAAAGTACCGCGGCCTGCTTTTGGAATGAATATCATTGCAATTAAGTTAAAAAAGGAATAAAACAAAAGAATATGATGTGATCAGTTTATACCGTAAAATATGTAGCTAGGTTAAAAGTGCAGGGAGAAATTTAAACGTATTTTTCATGAATCTAACTACTGTATATATTACATTATTAGCTGTAAATATTTTTGTAAATGTCATCCTCATTTTCTGAACCAACTTATGAGGCAGTCAGAGAGTCCGTTAGTTCATTAAGCTCTGCAATGATAGATGTTGATTCGTAGCCCATTTCGATGTCGCTGCATGAGATTTCCGGAAAGGTAATATCAGGCAATTTCACGTAATCTTTTAACGAATTGTACATGCCGGCAATTCTTATTCGCAAAAGCTTTTGTTCAGCGTTTACATTGCCAATGACCCTTCTTTTAGCCTGTTATCTTCTCCGTTCGACAACAACCTGTCGATGGTTTTTGAGACGGTTTCTTCGTCTTTCAGATAGTAGTGAAAAACAGCTTTCATTTCCTGTTTCAACAATTCCCTCTCTTCTCTACTTCTTTTAAGAAGGTTTACCATTTCATACACGATGGTATGGCATTAGGTCCATTAGCACACTCATTCATGCTAAACGTTTCCTGGCGTTTTGCGCTGTCAAGGGTTAACTCCTTGAAGGAGGCTTTCATTTCGTCACTTAACTGTTCCCGGGATGACTTATACTCCAGCAGGAGTTGCTTCATCACTTTTTCTGTTTTTTTAATTTGATTTGCCAACCGTTTTGACAATGCGTGACCGTCTGAAATAAAAAGAAAAAGTTTTAAACGTTAAAAGCAATAATTAAAAAAAGCAGTATTTGGGTTACGTTGGCTTTAAACTGAAAACATTCCTAAAACTAGCTAGACCTTTTTATATACTTTTTCGTTTTTCTTTTTAAGGTTTTTAAGGTTCTCACAAGCTATGGACAGAGTCTGTTTACATATCCCTAATCTAGTCGCTTTTTGTTGTGTGTATTTAGCCTATGTTCTAATAACTTGTGAATGAACTAATTTTTTTTCGAATTTGATTAAAGATACTTATTATAATATATACCATTATATAGTCTACGATTGTAATTACAGTACCTGAATATTTTTCTTTCAAACTCAAAAGAAAAAGACGCTCTTCGCACACAGATTTTATTTTTTGAAAACCTTCACCACACTTTCTCCGATTCTTCGATTCGAGTTCTTTCTGGTATTCTTCGTGATTCGGTGACCACCGCGATAAAATGTTCATTTTTTTTTCTACGACAGTGAGTTCCTTATCTAGTCTATAAAGGAATAGAGATATTCTCCAATATTACGCATTGACGATGCAATTATTCTTTCTGGTTTTCATTATAGATATTTGAACGAACCCTAATTGTTTGCAATGTTTGCTTGTCATATTACTCTCATCACGGATACATATATAATAACAATACATTGCAATAAAAATTTAACTGCAATACCTCGTAATTTTCTTGGTGATGGCCGATAATTCGTCTGCTGTCAGAGATGCATCTGCACACATATGGTTTCTAAAAAAAGGGACAGGTTACAAGTATATTCAAATTAAATCGAAATGTTAGTTCGTAAAAACACGAAGAATATACAAACCTCAATGTATAAAAAATTCTTAATTTATCAACATAAGACTCTACTGGGCTATCAGAACCATGATCAGTTTCTTCATTTGTTGCTGAAATAGATGATTCTACTTAAGAAATAGAAAACATCTTCCGTGTTTCTATTTTATCATATATGTACATGTACATGTACTGATGTACGTAAAACACATTTAATAAAGTTTTTGTTGTTAGCAAATACATGTATATTACTTGGTTCATTTCCACAAATCCGAAGACGTTCCTGCTGAGTGAACTCCTCTATTACAGCTTCTGACAAGGGCACTACAGATAAATACAACGAAATCGTAGATCTACCATAAGTATAAAATTATTACATGTACTGTAGAGTGCATTCAGATGAAGATTAATACACTATAATAACAAGCCGAAGTTTCCGTTCTCTGCCGACGTGAAGCTAAGGAAAAACAAAGAAAATACATGTACACTTGCAGAAAACACATGTATCATGTGCAAGTGTGAACTCATGAATCATGATTACTTGATATCAAAAATTATCTGCCAGCAGCAAATCAAAACCGAGATTGTACACGTAATGCATAATAATTAATATTAGTACCATTTGATTTCACCGATAGCTCGTCTATGTTCTTCTTGCTTGCTTCAATGCAATCTGCGCACCTTTTCCAATTTCTTAGCAAACCTGAAACTGTATTTTCATATTAAATTCTTCCATGATTTCTCTTCACCAAATGTGATAAAAATAGTTAGGACTATACAGTCTAAAAATTATTTCGAAATGTTACCTAATTTATCTTTACAAGAACGACCATAGTACAATATTGCATCGCTAAGCACGTCAATACGATGGGAAGGGCGCATTTCCTTAGTCATTTTGCCAAAGCGACGTAAATACGACCATAACCTTTCCAATTGCTCTCCGTCCGAAAGTCCAAAACCATTGGCTCTTCTAGGGCTGTATTCAAGCTATAATATATAGAATTGAGAAATAAAAAAATAATATTTAATTATCGTTATTTTTACGTTATCGTTACGTAAAGCGAAAAATAAATTTTGGCCACGTGATTGCCTATGAAACAATTTGTTGAGAAGGACATTCTCGCCAACCAATCACGTTCCCAAAATCTCTCACGTGTTGGAGCAACTTCGAAATTACTTAGCTACAGCATCTTTGAATATTACCTGACAAGTAGCCTTGTGCCCATATACATGAAAAGCGGGTACAGCTAACGAAACCTTTGAAAGCAAGTCCGTTTGACCCGACGCCTGCAAAATTGGCAGACAATATATTAGCGCATACTGTATGTACAAGTATAATTATTTGACACCTATAAATATAGTGCGAACTAGTAAAACGGACACCCAATTCAAATGAACCACAACCTACTGTACCAATTCGTTCTTTATCCTATCAGATTATTTGAAAGCGTGTAGTTTTTATTGGTATACAATGTCCATATTGTCTGAGCACAGACAGACAGAACCGACACGACACAACACGACAGAAACTAATATTGACAAACTGTACATTCAGTTAATTAAAACTGCAGTTATTCATAAAATCACATGAAATTTATAAAATTACATATTTACCCGTAAATGTTTGGCCAGCACACATCCAATATCGTACATCACTTTGATGTCGAAATTCCCATCTGGTGCTTTTTCGAGCATGTCCTTCAACATCCAAACAGAATAAGCTATCCTAAAAGCCGAAAAATAGAGTACACCTACAGGATTAAGGGCCTGTTCATATGGGCAAAAGTTTTCCCGGTTAGTGAGAGAACATTTCGACCAGCCAAATAATTATGGAGAAAGGTTATCCCGTTTACCAGGACGTTTCCGGGTGTGACGTAGCACTGAACATGACTGGCACAACAGAAACCTCTGTTCATATAGGGAAAACAATTTCCGGGTCACCGAAATCTTGCTTGTCAACAAGTGAGACCTCAGTGACCAGGCAAACGTTTTGTCTCATATGAACGCAGTGGAGCTTTTCATAATATAAAAAATAAAGAACCAAAAGCAAATGCAATAAAAAAGCATTTCGAAAACCCTATACCTGTAGACACATGCAGCGATTTGAAAAATCAACCTTTTTATTTAAATTTCTACTGTATTTTATAAATATATTAGGAATTTTACGACTATGGTCGAGATGCATAGAATATTAGTAAATAAATAAATAAAATTGTACAAATAAATCGATTAAATGTTTGCAAATTAAAATCTCAAAATGCAGACTGAGTGTTCAGTTATTCTCATGTGCATCATATATTACACAATTTAACATACAGCACAGTATACATTTCTATTTACCTTTCACCATGTTTTAGATTTATAAACTGTTTAGGAAAGCCATGCCTACAAGCTCGTCCAAAAACACCTGTCTCGTCAAGTGCTTTAAATTTCGATTTTGATCGTAGTGCATCACCCGCGTTAAAATCACTGCAATCCTATATACAGTAAAGACAAAAATAGTCTACGGGTATTTACGCGCACAACATAAAGCACAGTGTTGTAAATACTGTTATTAATGCACTTTTTCTAAATCATGAGCATTTGAATTGTACATATGAGTTACTGTACTGTATCAACAGTGTATCGTTCCTGTATAATAAATTCTTGTACATTGTCATTTCCATTGGTTCCTACTCTTAGCACTTACTTGTCACAATTTACATGTTTCATGCACACAACAGTACTGTAACATATACTATAGGCCCGAAGTATCTTTAGCACTTTGAGGTTTGTGTTTGCCTTATAATAAATTAAAGTGATTTAGATATGCTCTAGCTACATGTATCAGATGAGTAAACTGACAAAAGTATAAATTCCACAAAACTTTGCTGCTTCATAGAAGACCACAACCTACGTGGTTCTCCACACACAAGTTGTATATGACATCAAACATATTTATCAATAGACCTTTCCAGTAATTAGTCACACATTGTCAACTATTGTTTTTAAAAAGTCCTTTTGTTCAGTACAGCCAAAAATATTCTTTGTATTTTAACAAATGATGCACTAGCTAACCTTCTGTGATATTGGTTGCGTTGGATATTCCTCAACAAATTTGTCAATATCTTCCTGCGATGAAAATATAAAATTTCCGTGCAAAGGTTTTCGAGTGCTCGAACCAGACGCCTTTTTCCGAGGAAGTCCAAAAGAAGCATCAAATGATTCAATGATAACACCATCATCCTAAAATATGTTTTGAATTAACAATTAATGCACTGTCTGGTAATTTCATTTCTTGACTAAACATTAAACTAGCAATGACCTACCACAGGACAAGCTGGGCAAACATTTCCATAGTCTCTGTCTGGACAAATATGCTGAAGTGTCCGTAACTCATGTTTCATAAAGCTAAGAAAAATACTTAATGGTATAACATGCAGTTTACTTTTGAGTCTGAGTGACTATTTTTATTATTATTTTCGAACAAGTGAACAGTTTTATTATTATTTTTGAATAAGTGAACATAACAAATCCTGCAAGTTGATTGGTCAAATTTGAGGTTAATATTAAGCTGTAATACTCACCTACAACAGGTGAATATAACAAAATGTTCCAAAATGGGTCCTAGCCATTCGTGGAAGCAACTAGCAAAAAGTTAAGCAAGTTTAATGAAGATGTGCTTACCGATATTCTTCAAAACAGTCAATGATAACAGGATATAGATCTTTTTTCTGAAATAAAAAGAAAATAATACAGGTTAAACCATCTATAGAAAAGAAATGCATTTATTGATTTAGTTAATTTAGTTAATTTATGGATTTAATATCCCTCCCCAAGATTACAGCACGAGAAATTTAAACATTGTGGAAGATTTAATGTATACCAAAATGCTGCACTGCAATTGTAACTTAGGGCAATTATTTATTCATAAATTTTTAATGAATTCAACAACTACAGTAAAAGTCCTGTTTAAAAAACCCAATCCAATTTAGCAAGCTAGACTATTGTGCGTAAATTACAATGTAAACATTATTACTCTCGATTTCAGCTTGCAAAGTATTTTGAATATTCATTCGAATATTCGAGTATTCAATCCCAAATAGCGAACTTCGTTCGTAGAACTTCCTTTCAAAGTTCATTTCAAAGTTCAGATTTCAAAGTCCCTCTTCATTGGCTAATGTATTCATGCTGACCAATGAAATTGCAAGTTTGAAGATGTAAACAAATCTGAACTTTGCGACGAACTTTCAAGCGAAATTCCAAACGAAGTTCGCAAATTGGGATTGAATATTCGAATATTCGAACCAATATTCAAAGTGCTTTTCCAAAAGCAAGCTGAAATCGAGAGTAATTAGATTTTTTCCATTGAAGCAGAGTAAAAGGTTCAGTTGCAAATTGCAAAACATCTATGGTGTGAACTTAGAGGGACAAGCTAGACGTTTGTTCCTCCAAAAATCCATAGATGCATTGCAGTTGGAAAATAGGTAATTGTTTTATTATGCACAGCAGTAAGAAAGATCATGATTTTAGTATTTAAATAACATACAACATGGAGAAAACATATGTCCAGCAAATACAAACTTGTTTTACAGTACGCTTAATTAATGCATTGCAAAACAATGAGAACGAATGCATGATTGCAAATGAATGAAACAGCAAAATAAAAAACTCACAATTACGTATTTTGGCATTTTAACATCTAGTGCTTTGCAGAAGTCACTAACTGAGACCTGGCATTCCAAAAGCAAGGCCTCCATCCAGTCTAGAAGATCGAAGGATACTGCAAATCTTGGCTGTTTGGAGCTTGTAGGCCAAAGTCTAATCCTTGCCAATGAAACAGGAAAGGCCTCACATGGACAGGTTGTGACATGAAGCTCATGCCTTCGACCTGATCAAAATATTAGATATACAGCACTGAAAATATCTTATTACAATAATGCATAAAATATACTAGACAATATCTACCAAAGTCTCTTATCTAACGAGGCAAAAGCCACAATATAACTAGATTATCCTACTTTGGAATTTTACTTCTAATACCAAAATTTTGAAATGTTATTTTATACCATTGTCACAGATTGCAGTGATCAGCTTTGTTTCCATGCATGGACATTGGTGCCAAGGACGAGGATTAATAACTCTATCAATAATCGGGCTGGGCAAAAACATTCCATCCTGAAAAAATAATTATAATTATGGAATAATTATAATTATGGAATAATTATTGAACAATTAATTAACATCTGTACCTAAAACAGTAAGACACATCATTGTTTTCCAGTTATTATAAAATATCCCTTAAAAGAAACCAATACAAAACTTCTGTCCTGTAAATGTTCATTGGTCTCCTGCCATTACAATAGCATTTTTGACTATTAATTTATATAACAATAATGTGTAGTTTTTAAAGTCAAATATATTAATAAATTTATAAAATTGAACATGAAAAAAGTAATATTGAAGTACTAAAATACTAACCTTCCACTGCTCAATAACGTGGAAGATACATACATTGCTATGGATTGACGCAACACAAGTCTCACAAAAGAAATTTCCAATTCCACATCTTAAACATCTGAAATTTGCACTTTCAACATTACAGTTATTACATATTTGGCCAACTGGAATGCATTCTGACTCAATTACAGCATCACGCAGGTAGGACCTAATCTTTAACCAGTTTAGTGACGAGCTTTCTTGTCGTTTAGCATATGAACTGCTAGTCGATTTCTGTTGTGTCTCTTCCTCATCATTGTCGCTGCCACTATCACTATCACTCTCTATGAGATCCCTTTCATCAAACACAAACGTATTTAAACTGCTAGCATGATCGTAGTTGGTTTTTTTCTCGTACAAAGAAATTGATTCTTGTTGGATATGGGATGGCGTACAAGTATTTGATTCTGCAGTTTGTAACTCTAATTTTCGTCTCACAGGGGATGGCGAAGAATCACAAAATGAGAATATGTCCAGTCCAGTTAAACTGCGTTTAATATTACGACGCATAGCCCACAGTAAATTGAAAATAAAGCCGAAAAACCAGCTTCGTATTCTTCGATACAGCAAAACAGCTCAACAAGTAATTGTAGTGGACACCATTTTGTACGCGCGACAAAAAGCAATCTTCACAGACTGGCACTAATTTAGAACTGTTTTACGTCAGATTGGCGAGATTGGCTAAGCTGGCTAGTATAAATACTGCGCCTGCCAACCAATCTGGTAGTTATTATACTAAGCTAGATTCCAGCGAAACGGGTGATCAATGATATGCAATTATCCCTGTTATTCCATGTGGAATACACTACTCACTGTGCTGCGTGAATAATTTCTGCAAAGGCAGCTAACTTTTGTTTAAGGGTTATAGCTAATTATTTGTATATTATTTCACTACTGTATTGGTTTCTTTAACAAATACTGTACTTAATAGTACTTTAATGCGTAAGTTTCAAAGTTTAAAATAATAGGTTTGTGACAGCAGTATCTACACACATACGTATGCAGCGGTCATTTTTAAAAAGCATACCAATACACTGTTTTAGAAATATAACAATGTAACAAAAACCAGTATAAATTCAGTTGAATTTTAACCTTGTGTTTCCAATCGCAAGGTTATCAATAACTTTATCAATAGTGGGGATAATTTCCTGATGAATCTGCATCAAGGCCAAACCATTCAGACATTCCCTGACCATTGTACTCCGCTGATAGTTCTTAAGAGTTCTAAGAGAAGAAATGGATTGTTCACATTCGCATGGCGTGATAGGCAACGTTCCTAAAATGCAAAGAATGACTTTAATGTTTTCAAAACATGCAAAATTTACTGCTTTCAAAGTTGTAGTGATATTATCAGGGGGGGGCCATTATGGGTCTCCCAATAAGTATACAACAGTGCCTGAGTTCGGCATCTAAAGCTAAAGAATTTGGCAAATCATCGTGATAAAAGTCAGAAACAGTTTTAAAATGCATCTTCATTGCTAAACCATTCTTGACAAGAGACATAATTTTTGTTGGTACAATGCTAAGGCCTTTATATACATTAACACTCTCAATGTCAAATCTTGTTTCTAAAGAAGAATGCAAAGGATCAATTAAAGGAAGGGTAATGGTACGTTTATAGTAGTCTGAGATGGTAGTATAAGGAATATTTTCTCTGATAGTTTGTTTACCAACAGTTTGTGATTTCCACTCTTCAATGCCAACTTTCATGGCTAATGCTAAGGCTTCCTTATACCAGGTGTCATAAGAATTTCTCATATTTACCACATCTGCTTTCAAAGTTGCAATTAATGAATACCATCCACGATGTCAATGCTTTTACATTGCAATACCCTTACGAAAATGTTCTATAGAATCCTATAGAATATGCTATAACATATTCTAAATCCTATAGAATATTCTATACAACTTTTTATCCTATAGCATATTTCATTGCCATATTCCATGGAATCTACAGATCTTATAGAATATTCTATAGGACTTCTTATCCTATAGCATTCACCATTGCTATATTCTATAGAATCTAAATAACCTATGGATCATTGCATTGTAAATTAACATTAAATATCCAATAATATATTCTACAGAATATGCTGTACACAGTGTCCTACAGAATGTTATACGGAATGTGACCTTCATGTAGTATGCCAATTAAAATATAACATTTTTAGTACACAATATTGATTGGTCGAGAAATGTGTTTTCATCTTACAAGAAACACAAAAATTGAATAGCACCATATTCTTGTTTTTAAGCACTTTTCATCGAATAGAATATCCTATAGAATATCCTATATAGTACCTTTATCTTCCAAATAACATCTGTTGCATATTCAATATTAGAATATTCAACAGCAATATAGTATCAAACTGCCAGCTGGGTTTTTTAGCAAAAAAATTGATAAAAACGTTTTTCGAGGTGTGATTCCTTACAATTGTACTGACACCTAGTTTTTTTTGAAAAGGGTTTTGAGAAAACATGGCACAAACAAAGATGAGTGTTTCGCCCAATGTCAGGGCTCATCAACATGCCTAGGAAACACATACCACATGGTAACCTTGTGATCCAACATAAACAGTCCTTATGTAAGACTGTCAAGCAGACTGGTTTTACTGGTTTTTTACTACCACAAATACGGTAGGGCAATGGGCAAAAATATGTCTTGTTCTCAGCACTTAAACTTATGCATTTCTATTCTATTTGTGAAGGATGTAAAGCAATAATAGAATTAGTTTCTCGAACTTCTGTGAGAAAAGTACTACAGATATTAAAATCCACATCTCTGTGCAACATTCTTTGACTAGCTTCCATTGGTTTTACCAGAACTATGCTGTATGAAGGGCACTGACAGTACTGGGAGTTAAGTACAGAGCAATTGCAAGATGGCTTGATACTCAAGAGACCTAAGATTACTGCATAAGTAAAAGCCGAATGGTTAAACAACACATTGTGGTTTGTGTGGTGTTTTGATCTAACATAGGTCACACTAGAAAATATCTGGTGATTATAAACAAATCTTTCGAAAACATTTCCAATTTGATTATAAAGATTAATGTTAAAAAGATCCTCCACAGCGAGTATTTTATCAGCATCCAAAGTAATTGATTTGTACATATTCCTTCCTTAACCATAGTTTAAATAATATCAATGTTTGAAAGTTCTAAATCTATGTAGTTCTTTATTACTTTACCTTATATAGTTTCATGCTAAGACTTAGTGCCTTGGAGTGTCTATGATGTTCCTTGTTGTTCTTGTCTTTTAATACTATCTGCGTGCCGTTTATTTTGGTGATTACCATTGGATCAGGGTGAAACTTTGTTGAAAATTTGTTTTGATGTTTTTGATAACTAGCACTTTATTTCTGACTTCACAATTTCTTGGTTTTGCCTTTCGTTTCTTGTCAGTATATTTATTTGATTTCTGTTTCTTGTGTTCATATTTCTTTTGAGTTTCAGTTTTATCTTTTGCCTGTTGATCAATGCTGGGGAGTTTCATCTTGACTTCTCTGTTCATTAACAACAATGAAGGTGTTCCTCCAATCATCCTATGAGGAGTGTTACGGTAGTGGAATAACATTATTGGGATGGTGGGTTTCCAATCTTTGGCTTCTGCCCGTGCGGTTACAATGTGTTTCTCGAGGACTTGATTAAATCTCTTGACTTGGGCGTTGGCTTGGGGCCAATACTCTGTCATGGTCTTATGTTCTATTTCTCAGGAGGTTAATGCATTTTTTAACTCAGTAGAAACAAAGTAGGATGCATTGTCAGACTTGATTTCATCTGGAAATCTGTGTGTTGCAATTACTGATAACAACCAGTTGAGAATGGTTTTGGATGTAACCGATTTTAAGATTTTAACTTCTGGTCAACATGAATAATAGTCGGTAAGGATAACCACTTGTTCTCTGGTGGGAAAGGGTCCACATACATCTATGGCTAGCTTGGACCATGGTTTCTCAGGAAGTTTTGTTGGTTCCATTGCCTCTGGTGGTAGGCTCTTGCTGACAAGTTGACACGGATGACAGCAATGAATTGGTTCTTTGACCTGCTTATCCATCTCTGGCCACCAAAGCTTAGAGCGCGGGTGTTGTTTGCAGCGGACCATACCTGTATGGTCTTCGTGTGCAAGGCTAATTGCTTGTTGTCTCAGATTATTAGGAAGAACAATGGCGAAGCATCAACTACGACTTTCGTTTCCGCAGTAAGCTTGTAATGAGCCAATACCGGTGAAGTGGTAATAACGTTCTTAAGTGACTGAAATGCTTTCTCATAACTGCGATCCCAGTGAAAAGTGACATTCTTCTTTGTAAGCTGTCGGAGTGGAAAGGTTAGGGTACTGTAGTCAGGTATATATGTCTTCAAAACGTCATCATCATGGCGGTTGGTAGCTTGATTTTCAGCTCTCGGGCAATTTGCCTTATTTTGTATCTCTATCTTATTCTTGGAGACCTAACTTGTACTAAAAGCACTTGTAAGCTATCGCTGAAGAACGGCGCAGTGTTGACATGCTCAATGGAAGCTCCTGTCGTGAAAATTCCGTGTGTTTCAAGATGCCGACGATCAACGGTCAAAACGCAACCGTTATCCATCAGACGCAAAGTGGCTGTTGGAACACAAATACTTGTTCAGGCCTCCATCGCGACCTTATTGCTACAATTGTCTGGAGATATACACTGTAATCCTGGACCTATAGATATGACAAAGAGCAACAAACGATGTCTGTCTTTTAACGCAAGGAGCCTATGCAGCACAAATAAACTCTCTGACGGTACGATCATAAACAACTTACGTTCATTTCAAAACATGGTATACGCAGAGAACTTAGACCTTGTAGCAGTCACGGAGACCTGGCTGAAAGATTCCATTAGCGACAAGGAAATTCTACCATATGGTTATCATATTTTACGAAAAGATCGTGCGACTAACATGCGTGGAGGGGGAGTGTTGTTAGCGCTGCGTAACGACATTGAATACAACCAAATAACATCTGAACATTGGTCGGAACTTGAAATCGTTGCCGCTGAGTTTTTAGACAACGCTGGCACTAAATGCCTTGTTTCAATATGCTACCGTCCACCGAACTGTAATCTTGCGGCGTGGCTGGATCTGTTTACAAAATTTCTACAGCTGACGGAGTGTTATGATAAAGTACTTATTACTGGTGATTTTAACTTTCCGGAGTTAACATGGGAGTCAAATTTGGTATCAAACTCAACTGAACTAACGTCTGCTTCGGCCGTAGAGTTTCGTGAACTTATTTATGATTTCTACCTACAACAAACTAACACACATCCAATGCGACTGGCTAATATTCTTGATTTAATCATCACAAATTGTCCTGAAACCATTTCTGACATATCGTGTATATCGCCAATTGATATGGACATGTTTAGCGATCACAAACTACTGTTCTTTGATTTTTGTTTGCATACTAAAGCAACATGTTTGGATTCACGTAAAGTTTTCAATTATCGATTGGCAGATTGGGAAGGTTTGTTTGAAAAACTCTCGCAAATCGACATAACTTCAAACGTTGTTTTGACTGGCGACAGTGGCGCAAGTGATGGCGACGCGCGTAACCACGCAAGTGCTTACAACGTCACGACTGAGAACATCGATGAGATATGGCGCTGCTGGAATGAGCTTTTTTTAAAAGCAGTAACTCAATATATCCCAACCAAAACTATACGCAGGCGCAATACACCTCCGTGGTTCGATAGTGAACTAAAACACCTTATAAATAAGAAAGAGACGGCTAGAAGGAAAGCTAAAATAACCGGGAAAACTCAACATGTCGAAAAATATCGTCTGCTACGTCGTTTGACAAAAAAATTAATCTCAAAAAAACGTTACGACTTTTATCAAACTTTACCTAATGTTTTAAAACGCAACCCTAAGAGATTCTGGTCTGTGTTTAAGACGGTGTCCAACTCATCCAGTGTTCCAAATAAACTCTACTGGTCACATGATGACATTACGTCCACAGCAGAAACCCCTACTGATATCGCCAACTTGCTGAACACTTACTTCAACTCCATGTTTAAATCTCCATTGACAAATGAACAATACGAACATTATACCGTTGATGTAGAGTTATGTGAGGCATTAGACGAAATATTGATTTCGCCAGATGAAGTCGAAGCAGTACTGCAATCATTAGACACGGAGAAAGCCTGACCTGAAAGATCCCAGCATTACTACTGCAAATTTGTGCTCCACACATCTCCACAAGCCTCTCTAGCCTGTTCAACAAATCAATGGCACTCGGTCAATTTCCAACTGACTGGAAATTATCTAACGTTGTCCCCGTTCCTAAAGGTGGAGCGATGAAATCAGCCACCAACTACCGCCCAATCTCATTACTACCCATTGTGTCCAAAGTCCTAGAGCGTTGCGTTTACAACAGATTGATTGAACATGTCTCTGATCACCTCCACCATCTTCAATTTGGTTTTCTGAAAGGGAAATCAACAACCATGCAACTGCTACATGTCCTATACGAAATTGGCGAGGCTCTTGACAACCGTGTGCAGACAGACTCCATCTACCTGGATTTTGCAAAAGCGTTCGACAGGGTTGACCATCGCCTCTTAGTTAAGAAACTTCGCCAATATGGTGTCTCTGGTAGTTTGTTGCAGTGGTTCGAGAGTTACTTGTCGGATCGCCACCAGAGAGTCACTGTACTTGGTGCAACATCTGCACCAGTGCGTGTACTATCTGGAGTGCCACAGGGTTCAATTCTCGGACCACTGCTCTTCCTGATCTACGTCAATGATCTCCCGTTGACGGCCACCACCTCGTCTTCCACTGCGTTGTTCGCTGATGACACCAAGTGTTCTCATCCCATCAACAATCGTGGTGATGTGGAAGAACTGCAGCGTGATCTGGACAACATCTGCGATTGGTGTGATACGTGGAGAATGGACCTTAACCAGTCCAAGTGTGTCCACCTCAGAACAACGAGGAACCTGAAGCCCATCGAATCCGGCTACCATATCATGGGTAACCCCGTAAACTCGGTTACTGTGCACAAAGATCTTGGTGTCTTAGTTACGCCCAACTTGAAATGGAACCACCATGTCACTTCAATATCCACCAAGGCCAACAAGATGTTGGGACTCGTGAGGAGGTCATGCCACGTTCGTGACATAGAAGTTCGTTCTGTCCTCTACACCACCATGGTACGAAGTCACTTCTGTTACGCATCGCAAGTCTGGGCTCCACAAACAGTCATGCTCATAAAAAATATCGAACGAGTTCAACGTCGAGCGACCAAGTTTATTTTATCTCTCCCGTTTAGAACCCCAATCAGCTACAAAGACCGCCTCTTAAAAACCGGACTCCTACCACTAACATACTGGCACGAATATCTGGACCTCCTTCACCTATTCAAACACCTTCAAAACTCCACTGATCCCAATATCTCTGTCAAACAACCTGGTCGTGCTACGAGAAACAATCCAGCTGAAAACCCTAACCTTATCACCTTGAACATCCCTAAAGCGAACACTCTAACATTCCAAAACAGCTACCACTGCAGAACTCCAAGAATATTCAACTCTCTACCAACCCACCTTCGTAACTCCCAACTATCTGTTCACCAATTCAAAACTGGACTTCTGTCACATTATAGGCACCTAACCGAACATATATATGACGTAGACACTCCTCAAACTTTTAAAACAGTATGTATTAAATGTCATCTGTGTCGTTCATTATTAAGTCTTAGTGTTAAACTGTGTTGTTAAGTCACTATTTGTATAGTTTAATTTTAATAATTGTTGTAGTTACTTGTATCGTCTGTATTCTACTCAATTTCTTGCCTATGAGTTATGTAGTACTGTAATAACTATGTTTGTAATTTATAAGGCATACCATAATTGGAGTAAGTACTCTGTGGGGATGCCTGTCGCTTGCGACCAAGTTTATAAATAAATAAATTGGCGAGCCCTAGGAACGATCTGACTTCTGATGCCCTGGTAGGATGTGGGGCATTTACTATGGCTTGGACTTTGGTGCTATCTGGTCTGATTCCCTTCTCGGACACGATATGACCAAACACATTTATCTGCGGCACTGCAAACGAACACTTTGATAGCTTCAGTGTGATTCTATTGGTTTTCAGGATTATGAGGAGCTGGTCTAGTTGCTTGAGGTTTGTTTCCCTGTTATTGGACCAAAGCCAAATGTTGTTGATGTTCCATATGCAAATATTCTGGCATTGGTCTTTTTTAACATGATTGTCATCTTTCTGAATTTGTTGAAAGATTGGGTAATTGAGAAGGTTGACGGAGGCTCCGGAATGAATCAGAATATTTACTTTTGTGTGTCCAATCTGTACTTGTGTTTCTGTATATTTACCCAAGCTTGTGTTCACAGTAAAAAGGAATTCATCATCTGAATCTTGGAGATAATTCGAACTTTTCTCTTGGTCGACATGTCTGACATTTCCACTGTCCTTGGGTTTGGATTGAGATCTGCAGTATTTTGCAAAATGACCCATTTTCTTGCAGTTGTGGCAAGGTTTCCCTCGAGCTGGGCACGACTCAATTCCGCTTTTGTGTGGAAAACAGGTTTGGGACTTTCTACCACTATCAGGAGGTTCTTTCTGGTATTTATTACTCTGGCTTCTGCGACGGAGTTTAAAATTCGCCTCGAGTTTTTTTTTCGTCGTCGCAAGTCTGTAATGGCGCGAAATATACTAGTATATAAAATGTGTATGTGACCGTATTTATCTATATCCCAGTCTTGTCTCCCAAGAATTGTGGTGCACAGCTTTGGCTAATTTTCCGATGCGCAATTCGATTTCGCTTGCATATGGCAATTCCTCTAACAGAAACAAATAAACAGTTCTTTTCATGCTGTTCGATTAAGTTTAGATTGAATTGAGGTAAGAATATATTTAATACATGTAGATTCTGGTCCTATTTTAATAATATTGCTGCTATTTTGCCGTTTAACAAGATGATGTGGTTGTGTATAGGCGCGTTGACACGTCGTAGTTTGCACAGTATTGAAGAGTAATATAACTATATAACCGTGAATTCCAAAGGCAAAGTGTAAGACAAAGCGAATATATCATGCGGTTTATTTACATTTTTGAACAATTGAACTTCTATACTTTTTAAAGTATGAAAGAACTTCTATACTTTTTATACCTTTCCAGATTAACTCGAAGCAGGAAAGTTATACCCTAAAAATCCTTTCGAAAGACGTTTGCTGTTGTCAAAATGTTAGTGTTTTTTCAAATTGAATGCAAACAACAAAACTTTTGCACTTTCCTATTATATCTATTAATTATGAATGGTGTATTCCCAGACAATCATAAAACAGGATAACCTTTACATGAGCCCGGTTACCGGAGATTCACTGAAGAGTGAGAGGACTTTGAGCTATTGAAATAAGTCTCTATGACACCAACAAGGACATGCAATTGTTGTGGTGATTATACAAGTAATATAACTTCCAGGATAATTTTATCTGCTCATTTTAATACCTCAAAATCATCTCACGCTTCTTGAATCTCGGGTAACCGGGCGCATGTAAACAGCCCTTAAGAAATTATTATTTTATTTAAACAATAAAAATGTATAGTACATACATTATTTGTATATAGTACATATGTATATAGTACATACAAAATGTATAGAGTACATACAGACATGTGTATAAATTCGTCTACTCACCTGAGTGTTGCTGTCGAGACTGTCTTAATCGCTCCGCAACTTTTAACAGAACCGCTCTAGCAGAGCTTATGTCATCTGCATTCATCCCGAAAGAAAAATTAACAATGCTATGCCATAAAAAACGGCTAAGATCTATATTTACGAAACACTCGCTTTGTTGCAGCACTGATCGCAGAGAAAACAAACAAGAATGCATTACATCATGCGCAAGTGTGCGGCTTTTGCGCATGTCACATGGTAGTAAGAGTCCAATAATGTCTGGGCACGAAATAACATAGCAGGGGGGGTTAGCCCCTCTTGATGTACTCTTGATCATAATTAATATTGGCGGACATTTTGCGCTTATATTTATCACCGCCAATATTGAGCTTTCTGCATTCGTATGTTGAAACATTTTCAACAATTTTTGAACATCGAAGTGCTGAACAAATGGCATATTCTATATCCATTGTAGCCTAGCCTACCCAATGACTAGTCACTGGTCAAGGTCAGAATCTTGCCAATTATTGGATGCACAAATCTATCTGTAATTTTAATGTTCTCTATATTATTTATGTCTACAAAATGAAATAATTTTACCCTTAACAGTGATTAATATTGTGTGATGTTTTCAGGTGTAGAAACAATACTCATATTAACCTATGAGGTGTGGAATTATACATTTTCCTAGTGTTACCAGGGAGGGTTGTGTTTCCAATGACAAGTTCCTTAAAAAATATGTGAATTCATTTTTTACATGCTCTAACATTGAATATGTAAGTTAATATTTTCAATAATTTAAAAGGTAAACTAAGAAAGACAACATATACCAAGCCATGCAGATAATGTAGTATAAATATATTGCATACCATATCATCACTATAGATGCCATGTGTTAAGGAAATATTTCCGATCGGTTCTGCCTCCTTGTGTTTACGTTTTCTTTTGTTAAATTAAGTAGTTCTTGGAACAGGGACAGTAGGGTCATGTTTATAGCGCTTATAAGGTCCTGTAGACATTGCTTTCAAGGTTTTCAATTCTATTTCTTTAATAATATTACATTTGCTACGTCGAAATGGCCTTGGTCTCGTTGTCACAAAATTTGCCTGTGTTCTTATTTTATAAGATAAATAATTAGCCAAAGCCACAAAATCAATCAAGCTCTGCAACCCAGAGTAAGACTACACGCTGATCAAGAAGTGATGCAAAATCATATATTTTTCTCATAGCTTCTTATATTATTCTAGCGTTTTACATGCAATCAAATTTCTTTTTATAACTTTATAAAAGGAGTAAAAATTTTTAAATGGGTAAATATTTGGGCAAAGTTTAACCCGCCAAGTATTAGTATTTATGACAACTGCTTGAAATGGGTTAATGACAGAAGCTAAGCCATCAATGTTAATTTATATTTTAATATTTTTATGTATTGCAATACATGACTATGGAAACATTTGTGAGATTCATGCAAGATATGTTGACACTAGTTTAGTGGATACTGCAAACGTCCAA